GGGATTAGAGACGTTGCAAGGTATGTCGCCACGTTGTTTGAGGCTAGCTGGCACATGTTCCGAACCACTTTCGCCCTGGCGATAAATGGCCCAAGGGCTACGTGCTGGCACACGTTTTGCCAAGTGCACAACATATCATATTATGCATGGGCTCACCTCCGTGCAAATCGGCATGGCGCGGAGGCTGTGGATTGACGATCTGGGCCAGTCAGTCAAAGGATCCAGGAAGTCGGTCATCAATCAGTTCACCGACTGTCTGGTCGACACGTGCGAGGCCATGTGAGCAGCAGGTCTTTCGATCGCCTCCAAGAGTGTGGCCCTTTGCACGAGCGTGAAGGATGCGAGGATCGTTGTTCGGCGAGTTCGCGCACGAGGATATGCTCTTCGCGTGGCAGACCAGGCTGGATACCTCGGAGGAGATCTAGGCGGAGGTGCACGACGAGCCAGGCGCTGCAGGACGACACGAACGGTCAAGCACGCGCCCATGCATCGCAAGGTTCTCGAGTATGCAGCGGCCACGCGCCGCTATCAGCTATCCAGTCGGCTGGAACAACAAGGAGCTCAGGCGGCCGGTGCCTACGGGCGCCAGCTACACGGTTTTTTTGGGCAGAGTATGGTGCAGTCTCGAAGGGAGCTCGGCAATTATTTAGGACCACGGTTGCCGGGTCGGTGTCTCGCGACCCTCGTCGGCCTGCGGGCGCCCAATCGAGATCCAGCTTGCCGCTTCCCGAAGGATACGTTGACACTGTGGATTCCGCGTTGGACCACCCAGCCTGAAATCAAAAACCGTATTAGACGCACGTGGGGGCCCCTCGTGCACGAGCTCAGGAATATGTCATCAGCAGAACGAGTTCGAGCCATGGGAGGACCGCAGATTACTGTTATCTGCTATCTTTTGCAAGCAGGATGGGATCCCCGTGCACCGACATGCTGGAGCACGCCATGCAATGGCACTGGAGCCGAGCACAGTTGGGAATTCAACACAAAGACTTTGACAGGCTTCGAGGAGTTGGATGTACCGTCCGAGTTGCTTGATGAATATGAGGCAAGTGCGAGGGCTGAGCTGTGGCACCAAGCATCCAAACACGAAGGCAGTGGCATGGAACAAGGTATGTGCAATTTTTCATATCGGCGGCTACTGCGACATTTACAGCGGGCACCCGAAGGACGTAGACTAGCTGGCCCCCTGTTGTCAGTAGTTGTTGGGGCGTCGTGGCCAAGGACGAGCCGCCAGACACGGACTAAGCAAGTAGTGTCCGAGATGTGCGTGCGACGCCGCAGGGCCCAGGAGGCGGCATTGCGTCGAGTTCGGGGTTGCGATGGACATGCAGCGGGGCACCCAATTTACGCCATGACAGATCATCTAGTCTGCAAGGCACTGGCACAAGGCGAAGCAGAGAGTTGTTTTTTTGGACACGGATGGATTCCTGCACCGTGGTTGGCGGTGGATGCACCACCCCGCGAGGCCCACTTGCAGACCGCAGGCTATCAATTCGGTGAGATTTGCTTTGGGTTTGGAAGTATCACCTGCCCGCTCTTCGTATTTAGAGACGCGAGCGGCGGAGCTGTTTCTGCGCATCCTATCCTCAGACGAGTGGGAGTCGGCTTGGCTGCATTTGCTGACCTCGATGTCAATTCCGACATGGACTACGGGATGTGTGTGTGTGTGGGGGTGGGGGTGGGGGGGGGGGGGGGCTTTCGGGTCGGCGGCAAGTGGTCGCCCGAGGAGAATTACAGGCCCTACTTGTGTTTCTCGAAGGAGCTGACGGACACGCCGTTTTTGTGACGGACAACGAGGCGGTGACAATTGGATGGCGCGCTTTCAGATATGAGAAGCCCGAAGGCCCTGATGCAGATCTCTGGTGGCAGAGCAAGCATATGCTTACTAGAAGGCCTTCGCTGAAGTGTGCAGCCCTTTTCGTTCACTCGCACCAGGATGCACTGGATCAGTCAGAACGCACGGCCCCTGAGCTCCTGATCCAGGGAATTTCTGCGGCTGACTAGCTGGTGGGGGTCGATGCCGAGCTGGCGCGCATCTCGCAGGAGACGAAGGCGAGGTTCCACCAGGTCGAGCACATGGCCTACCTCGTGCGGGTGAGGATTCTCCAAGGCCAGCTGGAGGCCATGAGGGCAGATGATCAAGAACGTGCGCAGACAGGAACAGGACGACGTGAGAAAAAGGCTGCCGTCGTTCGCCCGCGTGCCCCTGCTGTCTGCGCCCTGTTTAGATTTCAACGCTCTGTCAGCCCTCAGGATCATCGTAGGGGCTTAAATTGTAAGGGGTCGACCACTAAGGCTACACAGACCGCATGGCTTAGCACACAGTGCTTTGACCCCGTGAGTGTGAACGGCTCTGTTTTCGAGCCCCCCCCCCCTCCCAGGGCAGCGGGTACATATTGGAGGAGGTTTTCCGCATTCGAGCCACCAACTAACATCTCACGTGGGGCTGGGGGTCTGGTTGTGCACGGCCTGTGGGTTTTACGAAGCTCAGCAGCTTGTTAATTTAGCCCAGGCGTGCCCAGACAGAATTGAAGGCAATCGTGTAGAGTACGTAGATCGAATCTCACGTAACGTATGGCCAAAGGCCTATAGTAAAGCTGAGCAAGCCAGGAAGGTTAAGGTCTCCTGAGTAGAGCGTTCTCGGCCTAGTCGTTATATCCAGAACTCCAGAACTCCTCCTCCTCCTCCGCCTCCTCCTCTCCCTCCTCCTCCTCCTCCTCCTCCTCCTCCTCCCCCCCTCTCCCCTCCTCCTCTCCTCCTCGCCGCCTCCTCCTCCTCCTCCTTCCTCCCTCCTCTCCTCCTCCTCCTCCTCCTCCTCCTCCTCCTCCTCCTCCTCCTCCTCCTCCTCCTCCTCCTCCTCCTCCTCCTCCTCCCCCGCTTCCTTCTCCTCCCCCTCCTCCCCCTCTCCCTCCCCCTCATCCACCTCTTCTTGCGCCGACATTAGCGCATAAGCTGCCCGCGTAAGGTCGCGCGTGGGCGCCCTCTCTTCCACTGCTGCGTGCCGTCCCGGCGGCCCGCGCAAGCTGCGGCGTAAGGTTCCCCATGCCGTTTCGCGTCATTAGGTCAGTCGCCGTTCTCGGGTTTTCGGGCCCCCCCACGGGCCCCAGGACCGACGGAAAACGATTCAGGATGAACTCGTCCTGGGATAAAGTTCCAGGGCCCATGACTTGTATCCTTTAGGACTTTAGGGTTCGTTTCCCCAGGCAACTTTTGCCAAGCGTTGAGCATTTTCTCAACTCGTTTGCGTTGGGCCCTCGCCACGCAGGCGAGTTCCTGGGAGGCCCAGCGGCGAGGTGTCCCACGCACATCCAGATGACAGCTCGCGGCCCCTTTGGGGGCTGACACCTGCGCGAGTGTTGCCACCCTCGTGGGTTCCTGGGCGGTTCAGCGGGATGGTGTCTTACGCACATCCAGACTACACGTCGCTTCTCCTTGGCCTCCGGTGGCCTGCCACCTGCGCACCATGCCCGCTATCGGCCAGTCAGCTAGCTCTCTTTGCTCCGCGCAGTTGACAACCCAACCGCGTCGGTGGGGCCCCTTCGGGGCGGCCGGCGCGCGTCGCGGGGATGCCGCGTCGCGCTGCACCCGTCGCATTGGACAGTGGCGCGCGTGGGCCGTGGGGTTGAAACATGGGAGGAAGCGGTCGCGGTCCTCGTAAGGGGCGTGCCCACATGCGCGGCGACGCTCATGCACACAGACGCACTCGCACGCACACTCAATCGCAATGAGACGCACTCGCGCCCAGATTCACCCGCTTTCCGTATCTCGTGTTCAGACTTATCGTCGTCGTTCGTGTTGTGTACCCTGCCACACGTTTCGGCACGCCCCTTCACGCGGCTTTGTGGCCCCATAGGGAGCTCTGCCGAAGACGACATTCACAATTATGGTATTCACAAAAGCATATGATTGGGTGCTTCGCCTGGCTAAGTTTCCCTCTTGCCGTCTTCCTTCAGCAGCGCGCCAGTCAGGCGTTACCTGTCAGGCACCACCTCCCACGTCGCGGCGTAACGAGCAGACCAAAAAAAAGCAAGATGGTCCGAGCCCTTGCGTTGCCACGCCTCGGGTACGGAATAGAAGTCTACAGTTCGCCTCCCGCTCTTTCCAGCCAGTTCTTGCATGGTGGAGGCCCCGCCCCATCAGATGGGATGCAGACGGTATGCATCATCTGGGCTGAGCCTCCTTGGTTTTCTTCGCCCTTTTGTCTTCTCATGGGGGAACAAATCGCATCTCAGGCCTTGCCATGCGACGGCGAAGAAGAAAACGATGTGTTTCCGCAAGCTTGCGTTGGCATGTGGCTTGAGTCGCATCTGCCCCGCCGACCCTGCGAGGCCTCACGAGGCCACGTGGCTGCACCCTGGTCCACGCGACAGCGAGGCCCGTAGACGAATCTGTTTGTCCGCTCTCTGCCTTGCCATCTGGCGGATTGGCTACAAGAATAGCACGTGTCGCCCCCAAGGCGTTGTCATGTGAAGAAGTTGCCAGAACAAGATGTGCTTCCGCCACCCTGCGTTGCAACGTGACGAGCAGAACACACCAGACAACTGTATGTCGACCGCCCCCTTGCCAACAGCGGAGGTCGTTTGAAGCTACCCCCCTTCAGAAACAGAAGGTAAGCCGGGGCTCCCCTTTCCAGAGGGGTTGGCTTTGGAAACTAACCTTCCCTTCGCCCCTTGTCGTCGACCGGTGTCAAATCTCCTCGTCGTCCGCTTCGTCGTCGTCGTCGTCGCCGCCGCCGCCATTGTTGTCGGGACGAAGTGGCTGGCAGCATCTGGAAAGATATGTGTTGTCGACATGGTCGCTATTACGTTCGTCGACGTCGCCCTGTCGTCCTTGTCGCCGTTGGAGAACCCTGCCCCCTCTTCATCGCAAGCGGCGAAGAGGCGCGGGTGTTGCTGCTCATCTGGCACGGCCACACGTCAACGCGCGCCCTTTGAGCCTCCGCGCCCCGCTCGTCCCCGCCCGAGCGTCCATTTTGCTCCCCGCGCGCCCGGCGGCCCGAGGCTACTATCCGTCCTACGCCGCCCAGAGTGGCGAGATCGTGGGGATACTGAAGCAGCTCAAGGACGAAATGGAGGCCGACTTATCGGAGGCCCGCAGTCTGGGCACCCACAGAAAAGAGTGATCGCGATTCGGTCGGTTCGTCCGCGTCGCCGTCGATGGCACTCCGTCGGTTCGGTTCGGTCGGTTGCTTGTGTCGTTGCCGCGTCGCTGCGCCTTTCTACGCCGCTTGCAGCTTGTCAGTGTCGGTCAGTTTCGGTTTTAGTGGCGGTTCGGCCAGTGTTCGGTGTTGATGTCGCTGTAGACGTCCTTGATAAACCAGGCACGGGCAGCATGGTCGAGATAGCCAACAGTGTTCGTCGTGGTCGAGCCTCGGCCTTGTGAACTCCTTTCGCGGTGTGTTCATCGGCATTCGTGGGCAGCCTTGGCATGTTGAGGGCCTTTCGTTCAAGTGGCGGGTGGCAGGGTTGCTATGCATCCCGCTCTCCCGCCGCCTCGATTTAGGCTAATTCGGCCGAGTCGGGCTGGACCGGACCAGGCCAATCCAAGCTCAGCCAATGTAGATCCTGACGGCTTCCAACAACGTTGGGGACACCTGTGAGCTCAGCTGAGCTAGAGCTGATCCATGCGAGCCATATGCATCACGCGTGCAAGACGTATTCGGTAAACCAACATAATGTACAGGACTTAGTGGGCTCTGGAAACGACAGGGCAGTTTTGTTACCGGTTCCGTTTTGCCGTTTTTTTTGCCGGTTCCGACGCCGTCTTTTTTCCGGTTCCGTCGCCGTTCTTTGACCGGTTCCCGCTCCGCTTCCAATTCTGGAGCCGTTTTTGTTGCCGTTGCCGGTCGCCGTTGTTTTGCCGTTGCCATCTTCAAGGGACATTTTTTTGGAAACGGTGAAAAAACGGCCCTGCTGTGTCCAGGGCCCACAAAGGTACTTATTTAGTGAATTCCATTGGTTTTAGGGTTTTCACACATGGTCGCAGCCACGCAGAGGGCGTGCGTAGCGACGCCCCAAATGCTCGGTCTCCAGTACTCCTACGTGGCGGCGCCCCCGCAGGCACGCAGAGGGCACGCGTGGCGACGGGGGCGTCGCCACGCAGAGCTTCTAAAGACCAAACATTTTGAACACCGATTGTTTCCACTGCTAAAGTACAGGAGCCATGCGCTCGCCATCGGCCCCCGATCCAGGAGCTCTCTCGCACGCAGGCACGCGGCCGCTCCGGGAAGAGGTGCGCGCACAGGAGCGCGACGGAGGGTCCCGCCTGCACCGTGGTCGGACCGACGGGAGAGGTCAGCGCTCGGACGGGCACGCGGCTCAGGGCCAAGCGAGCCGTCAGCGCTGAGAAGATTGCGAGGAGGAGGAGGGGGAGGAAAAGGAGGGAGGATCGGGGGGGGGGGAGGAAGGCGTCGAAGGGCTGGAGCCGTTGGGCGGGCCTCGATTGCGGGTGGCGTGACGGCGGTGCTGGCGCGGAGCGGTGAGCGCGACAGTGTGAGACATCCTTGACGTCTTCTTCAGTCTGTGCCGACGCAGGCTTTCAGTTGCCAAGACCCTTGGCCCATGACTACACATACTAATCCACTTGCTCAACCGGTGCTGCCATGCGTCTGTGCACGTCAACGACGCGCCGTCGGTCTGACAAGGAGCTTGCTTTGTCCTGCGCGCGGAGAGGCGCGCGCGCGAGCCTCCGCCGCCGCCACGGCGGTGCGGTGCTCGCTCGGGCTCTCGAGCGCCCTGCGCTCGCTCCCGCGGGGAGCGCGACGATTCGTTTGGGACAATGGCGCGGGCGCAATGCTAGAATTCGCGCGCGTCCCCCTCCTCCTCCTCCTCCTCCTCCTCCTCCTCCTCCTCCTCCTCCTCCTCCTCCTCCTCCTCCTCCTCCTCCTCCTCCTCTCCAACTTAATTATGCTGATGGCGGTGGAAGCCAGGCCCCTCACGCAGGGGAGCGGCAGGGGCGGCGAAGGACGCCGCTGCCCGTGAAGAGCTGCTCGCGCAGGCCGCGGGCGCTCCGCCCCCTTCCCCTTGAACTTTCATGTAACCAAGACGCGCTAAGCATTCGTTCAACCAGCTCGCCAACCACAAGCAACCGACCGACCAGTGACAACGACATCGCCCAGAACCAAACTACAGGCGTTTGCCCCCGTAGGCTTGCTACCACACGAAGCAGAGATACCACACTGGGAGCCGATCCGCGCGACGGGATGCAATGTAGATGATCGTGTTCGCGGCCGCGAGGGTTGCCTCGTCGCCATCGCCGTCACCGCCGTCGCCTTCATCTTCGTATCCACGGCGATGCCATCCGTGGCCTTGGTGGCTCAATCCTGAATTCCGTATTCCGATATCGATACCGAATGCCAGCCAATTGCAGGAAGCGGAGCGCTTTGTCCGGGCTCCGCGGCCTGGCAGGCGAGGTGGGCGCGCTGGCGAAACGAGCGCGGATTTCGACGTTTTCCGCTCCCATGTAGCTGCCGCCCGCCCCGCGCAGAACAACCGACGTCGCGCCGAGGACATACTTATCAACACAGGCGCTGCGCATGCCTCGGCGCAGGCACAGCAGGCGTGTCAAATAATATGGTACATGCATCGCCTCGCCATCGGATTATCAGCCCAGGCACCACGAGGCAGGCACCGCGGGGGCAGTCGATCTATCCGCCCTGGTGCTGCGCGCAGCCAGACGCCGCCAGCGCGTCAAACAAATTCCTCGTTCGTTATCGCGCTGTTAGACCAAAACTCCGCAGGCATTGGATTTTGAACCGCGCATGCTACGCAAGTGCTACAGCGCAGGCGCCTTTGGTACCCCAATTGATAAGGTGCAGGCGTCGCCCTGTCATCGCAAGCGCCAGCGCAGGCATGTTGGACCTTATTCTTTTCCATGGCGCAGGCGCGCCACCCCGTTTGGGATTATAAAGCTACCCATGCTTGCTTAATTCGTCTGGCTTGCGGTCGGTGGGTCGGTCGATCGTCGATTCGTTGCAGGGCCCGCCATGGTCAATCTGAAGTTGCTAGGTCTTGTCCGCTGCGAGCATTGTATTTGCGTCGCTTGGTGCCCACTAGGCCGCCTTTGTAGAGCATGTGACCAGACGCCCTCAGAAAACCCAAACTCCTTCGCAACCCCGCATCTCTAGAGTCTCATGCGGCTTGTTCCCCTCATGTTGATCTTCACGGGTTCGGCCATCGTTATTTTATGCTTCTTAGAACAAGGGCTAATTCATGTTGCGTGTCTTTGAATTCCAACCGAAGGATAATGCCGATTTAAAGAGACCTCATTTTTTCGTAGCCGAAGATTTGATTGCGGGTGTGTGCCTGCCAGTGTTGATCCGATGTGGCTGGAATTTGTTTTGACCGATCAAATTGTAGTCCGTGGCCTTTGGGTGTAATTACTCTTTTCTTCTCTCCCTCTCTCTCTCTCTCTCTCTTTCTCTCTTTCTTTCTCGCTCTCTCTCTCTTTTTGTTCTCTCTCTCTCTCTCTCTCTCTTTCTCTCTTTCGAATTTAGCCGTCGCCTCAGGAACCATGTTTAGTTCAGCTTGGGCGCAGTCAACCCGGGATGGGGCATCGTGCATCCGACCTTGGGCGTTCGTTGTGCGTCGCCTTCGATGCTAGATTCCGCCGCAGTGCAGGGTTATCGCCTAGGGTTCTCCCCCGTGCCCCGTCTGAATGCAGATTCGTAATTACGTTCTAGTGTCCAGGCGGTTTCGCTGGCAGCGGCCTCAATGCAGACGACGGGCGGGGTCCGGGTGCAGGCGCATCGGGCGCGGGGCATTGACGCCATGTCATCAGTCAGTTCTGCAGCCCAGGGTGTTCTGTCGTCCTTAGGGCGCCCAGGCACCCCCCGCATTCAACCCAACTGGGGCAGCTCCAGTGGCTTTTCTTTTGCGTGCGGCAGGTCCGCGCCTCGTCGACCCGGCGGCGACCCCCGCGTGGGCGTTCAAGGTTGGATGCCTCCGGTGCCCCAGCAGCGGCCGGCTTTGAACGTTCCGCGCTGTGGGAAAGCCGCAGCCGTGCAAGCTTGAGCTCGGTGTCGTTTAAGCGATCCCGATCCCCATCCCCAGCCCTTTCGAGGCCCCCACCAAATTGCCCCGTCAGTTGGGGATGCACCCCTCGAGACCCGAAGGGAGCGGCCTATATCCCCATCTAGGGGGGGGGAAATCGGCCAGCGGGGCCCGGGCCACGCCGCTGGGGATGCCCGGACTCCGGATCCGCCCTGCTTTGGGGAAATTCGTAAGTGGGGCTTGGAATTTCCGCCTTACTTTTCAAGCCCCGCTGATGCCAATTTCCGCCCTACTTTTCTGCTGCTGTTTCTGTCGATTTCCGCCCTATTTTATGTTGGGTGCAGCAATTTCCGCCCTACTTGTTCGGCCTCTTATAGGTGGATTTCCGACGCAATTTTAAGCTGGAAAAAAAGCCAAAGTAGGGCGGATCCGGAGTCAGGGTGGCGATCGGTTGAACGATACTCGTGAGCGGCCCACGGCCAGAGCACAAGTCGTCACGGCACGAGCCGGCCGGCATCGGCGCACCAGTCGCCAGACAAGGACCCCCAATTATAGGCTTCGCCCAGGGCTTCCGAAGAGCCGGCGGATGCGCCCCCCAGTTCAGGAGGGAAAGAAACACACAGACACAATTAATCGTCGATTCCCCAGAAAATATGGGAAAATATGGGAAGTGGGGGGAAGACAAAACCCGAGAAAATATGGGGAATCTTTTTATTTGTGTGTATTTATTTGTGTGTCCTGGGGCCCCTTCACCAGTTGGCGGCGGCCTGTCCCTGATTCTTTTGTTTGGTTGATTCACAGATGGCGTTCTGTGGGGGTCCGTGGCCGTGTTTCCTCACAAGGCATTGCCCGCCTTCATTGGTATCGTGGTTCTTTGGTTCTTTGGTCTTGGCATCGTGGTTCCTCGGTCTCGGTTCGTTGGCTCTTTGGTCTTAGTCCCTGGGTCTTGGTTCTTTGATCCGTGTTCTTGTTGGTCTTGGTGCCTTCCTTCCTTGGTCTGGGTTGCGTGGTCTTGGCTCCTTTGCTCCTTGGTTCCGTGATCTTGTCCTAATATCTTGCGGCGCGCGCAGGGGGTTATGGGGAGGGGGGCAGGCTTCTTAGGAGCACCCCTGCTTCTCAGAAGGCGCGGGCCTTCTCTGCAGATGCAGGGCTGGCGCCTGCCAAGAAGCAGCCTGGTTCTGAGAAGCGTTCCCCCCTCCCCCTACCCCCTTGTGCGCGCCGCCAAATATCAGTTTTTTTTATGTTTGGAAGCCTTGCTCTCTGCTCTCTGCTCTCTGCTCTCTGCCTTCTGCTCCTCCTCCTCCTCCTCCTCCTCCTCTTCTTCCTCCTCCTCCTCCTCGTCCTCCTCCTCCTCATCATCATCCTCTTCATCCTCGTCATCCTCCTCCTCTTCATCCTCGTCCTCCTCCTCCTCGTCCTCCTCCTCCTCCTCCTCCTCCTCCTCCTCCTCCCCCTTTTGGGCCGTGCCAGGCTCAGGCCGCCAGGCCGCAAAGGCCTCATGGCCAGCTCCGGCGGCCCCGAGAAGCCAGCGGCGTGGGCGCCAGACGCCGGAAATCGGGCACGCGGGGCGGGGGCAGCGTCGGCGGGCGAAGTGGTGGAGCGGTCTTCGGCCTATCCTCGGGCCGGACAAAAGGGGGGGGATTGGGAAAGGGGGGGTTACGACATTTGCTGCATGCAGCTGGTTTCGGCCCCACCGAGGGGCCCATTCCTCGATACATGGCCGCCTCCGGCGCCGGGAGGCGCCGGGAAAATCGGCTGCGTGAGCTGATTCTCAAACCCCCCCCTTTGCTATCCCCCCCTTTCGCCCGACCCGATATTCCCGCCTCTGCGCCCGGCTCGTGTTCCAGAGACGCGGGGGGGCAGCTGAGCCAGATGCAACTCTTCGGAGTCAGATTCGGCATCGGCGCTTGTACACGCGCCGTCGGGGCCAAATCCTGCACGCTGTCGTTTCATCCGGCTGAATCCCGCACGATGTTGCTCAATCCCCAGCTTACTCGCTGCTGATCTGGCCTACTGGTCCTGCATCTGTCGTCACAGCCAGTGTCCGCTCTTACGAAGACCTCCCATCAGTTTTTTCCGAAAGTCGGCAGCAATATCTTTGCAGTACGCCCAGGCTCAGCCACGCGCAGAGGGGTGGTATGGGGGAGGGGGAAAGCCTCTTAGAAGCACCCCATGCTTCTTAGAATGCGCCGGCCTCGTCTACAGATGTACGGCCGGTGCCTTCTAAGGAGTCCCCCTGGCCTTCCGAGAAGTGTTTCAAACCTTCCCGGAGGACGCGATGGTCAACAAGAAACCCTCAGAGGGCGCGAGGGTTTCCGAGGAGTCCCGCCGCCTCCTGAGAAGGCCCCCTCCTCCTCACTTCCCCCCCTCGCGTGCCGCCGAGCGATGTCCCGTGGGCACGAGATCCCACAGGAAGCCCCATGCCCCGCGCGGAGCGTCCGCGCAGCGGCGTCCGCGCAGCGGGCAGCGGCGTCCGCGCACCCGCGAGTCCGCGGCCAGCGAGCCCAAACCGCGAGGCCGTGGGCGCGGACCGGGGCATCTGTCGACTCGACTCGTGGAGCCTGCCAGGAAGAGGTCCTGGTCTTCGAGGACCGAGGGAGTGGCCACCTCTTCCGCGGCGGAAGTAGAATTGAGTCGGGCGTGTCCTTCTACAGGAGGAATATTCCGAAATAGTCCGAGAATTATCTGAGGAGGATTCTTCTACGATTTGACAATTTGGGAGTAAATTTTGATTTCTTTAAAATTATTCATTCAAAATCCGCCTGTACGTGGGACACGCCCGACCTAAACAAAGGCGTCACCGCCGTCGGAAGGCCGGCGGAAGGCGGCGGAAGCAAAACATGCGCCCCCAAGGGATGAACACACGTTTTCGGTGTCAGGGTGTCCTTAATCCGCCACGCTTCAGGAGGGTAAGAAAACACACAGACACGATGGATCGTCGATCCCCAGGAAAAAACGATGGGAACATACATGGGAAGCGGTGGTGGGGGGTACGAGGATCCAGAAAGTACGAGAAAACGTTGGGAATCCTTGGATGTGTGCATGTTCATTTGTGTGTCCCTGGGCCCCTTCGATGTTGCTCCAGTGCGCGGCCCAGGAGGCTCCGACCCGCCGCCGAAAGCTCCCCCGAGCGCACGCCGGCAGGCCGAGCAGAGGCAGGGGGTAGCTACAGTGCCGTTTTGAATACATGCTCCGCGTGCGGATCATGTATTAAAAATAATGCAGGGATTCAGTACAAACAAACAACGATGAGTTCATGCATACATTTACTCATTAACTAATCATGTATTGAAGATCCAATGTTTTTTACTAACATCCTTTGTATTGACAAAAACTGCCCTGTATTAATAACAACGATGAGTTCACGCATAAATCTATTCATAAATCAGTCATGTTGGCCGCCGGCCGTGCACGGCCGCGGGGGGGGGAGGCTTCTGCGCCGAGGGTCCGCGCGCCGCGCGGCCCCCCGCCGCGGGCCTCCAGGAGGAGCCCCGGGGGAGCAGGGCCGCCCTCGACGACGAGCGAGGAAGCGCAGGCGCAGGTGATCGGGGGGGAGGGAGAAGCACAGGCACTCAGAGCCCCGAATCATCAGGGGTAACTCGGGCGCCCAAGGCACCAGAAGTCGTCGACTCCCCCTGGAAGTATGGGAAGGGGGGGTAGACGAGAATCCAGAAGATGCCAGAAAATATGGGGCATCCTTGGATTTGTGTGTGACTTGATTTGCGCGTGTGTCCCTGGGCCCCCTCTATAAGCAGGGCCTCCCTCGACGACGCGCGGGGATGCGCTGGCGTGGGCTATCAGGAGGGAGAAAAAACAGACACACTCCCCTGGTAAATATGGGGAAAGAGGGGATGGGAGGGGGGAAGACGATAATCCAGAAGATGCCAGAAAATCTGGGGAGTCCTGGGCTTCGGGTGTGTTTATCTGTGTGTCCCCGGGCCCCCTCAAGCAGGGCCTGCCTCGCAGGCCGGCGAGCGAGGAGGCGCAGGCGTGGAGCTTCATCGGCGCAGAGCGACCCAGAGATCCGACGCTCCAACAAAAATTGGAGCGTGCGGTGTTTTCGCTCCTCCTCCTCCTCCTCCTCCTCCTCCTCCTCCTCCTCCTCCTCCTCCTCCTCCTCCCCGCCTCTCTCTCTCTCTCATCCTGCTCCTCCGCCTCGTCCTCCTCCTCACTCCCTCCTCCTTCCTCCTCCCTGCTCTCCTCCTCCTCCTCCTCCTCCTCCCCCCCTCCTTCTGCTCCTCCTCCTCCTCATCATCATCATCCTTCTCCTCCTCCTCCTCCTCCCCCTCCTGCTCCTCCTCCTTCTCCTCCTCCATTTTCGGCCTCCGGGGGCCCTCGCCCGGCGCCGGGACCGTCAAAGGACGACCAGGGACAAACAGCCGGCCCTGGGGAAGCGGTCCAGACCCGGGCCCACGCATCGAGCAAATTGGAAAGCAGCTGGATCTCTGGAGGGGGGGGGGAGGAAGTGAGAAGGAGACGGCCTTCTGGGAAGGCGGCGGGGCTTCTCAGAAGCCCTCCAGCCTTCTGGGAGGTTTTGTTGCGTCTTCCGGGGGAAGGCTCAGAAAGCTTCTCGGGAGGCCCGGGGGGCCTCCGAGCCTTCTGAGAAGGCTCGCCCCTTCCCGCCTCCCCCCATGGGCTCGCCGCCGAGTTAAGGCGCGTGGGTTTGCGACGGGTCCCGTTACCGTGCACGGCGCGCTCCGTCGGCGAGTCAGGCGGCAGGGGCCTTGTGTTTCGGGGGCTGCTTTTCCCAGGTGCGGGGATCTGGCGCCCACACGCCATATCCACGAATCCTTTACCCCCCACACATAATAATATGTTCAATTCTATATCACAAAAGTACATTCCAGTCATATACATATGTGTGTCTGTGTCTATGCAGGTGTAGGTGTAGACGTATAAGTAGATGTAGATGCATCTGTATATGTAGATCTAGATGTAGATGGAATATATATATAAAGATCTAGATAACGCATGGTGTAAATGATGGATGTATATGTAGATGTAGTAGATCTAGATCACGCAGGAACATATATAAACATGTAAAGATCAGCGTGCCCTGGATCCTCGACGACGACGAGGGCGGCGCCCTGACGACGACGAGGGCGAGGGCGCTCGGTCACGGGGACTGGCGGCGTGGCCCACACCGCACAAGGGCGGAACGGCCCCCAACGCCCAGCGCGCAGGCCCAGAAGCACGAGTCCGCGCGCGCCGAAGAGTTCGACGTGCTGCGCAAGGCGAAGACGGCACAGATCGAGGCTTTCGCGCTCCCCTCGCCTTGCGCGCCTTCGGGGGGGAGGAGGGGGGCAGGCGCGGCGGCGAAGGCCGAAGAGGGGGGAGGAGGCGGGTAAGGAGATGCTGCGGTTCCTCCTCCTCCTCCTCTTCCCCCCCCTTCGGTCTGCACCCGCCAATCCTCTATCTTCTCCTGCTCCTGCTCTTCCTCCTCCTCCGCCTCCGTCCCAGGCGGCAAGGGGTGCGGGTGCACCTGGACGGACTGGGCACTCTCTTCGGAGCAGTCGCGCAAGCTCTGCCGAGGAGCAGGGTCGCCTGACGCCCGCAGAGGCCCAAGCGGGACCGCCAGCGCCCCCGCCAGAACAGGCTGTGTTCAATCTCGACGCGGAGGATGAAGCCGCGTGTTTGTTTACACGAAGGTATGGATGAGGTGGTCCCTGCTCCCCTCGAGCCTCCTCCCCCTCCCTCGGTGGTGGAAGGTTCGAAGGCTCTCTCCCCAGTGAACACTCGACACCGATCCCGAGAAGTCCGAGGAGCTCCGAGTCTCTCGCGTCGCAGCGTCTCTGCTCTGCACGCCTTGGCGCTCGCTTGGCTTCCCTCCTCCTGCTGAGCCGCTGGCTCGTTTTGAGGGAGGCCTTGCTAGTGCGGCCGCACACCTCTCTAACCGTTCCGTTTTGAGAGCGGTGTCTTCAGCGCTGCGTGGGGAGGTCGAGGAGGAGGAGGAGGAGGAGGAGGAGGAGGAGGAGGAGGAGGAGGACTGCGCTCCTCTCGTTGCTGGCCCAGAGGATGGTTCGTCTTCGGCTTTTCGGCGCTCTGGTTCGTGGGTCCAGCCCCCCCGAGCTGCTCGCTGCGTTATGCGACGCCGCAGCCTTGGTCGTAGGGCCACCCGCCCTGGGTCTCTGGCTCGGACCTCCCTGCTTGGTGGGGCCTCGAGACGCCCAGGCCGGTGCACCATCCTTTTCCGCCCTGCCTGCTTTCGCTGGGTGGCTCTGGGCCTCTCTGCCCCGACTGGGGCTTGTGGCCGTGGATGGCACAACAAATTCTCCTCCTCCCCTTGTCCTCCTTGTCCTCCTCCTCCTCCTCCTCCTCGTCCTCGTCCTCCTCCTCCTCCTCGTCGCTCCTCATCCTCGTCCTCCTCCTCCCCTCCTCCTCCTCCTCCTCCTCCTTCTCCCTCCTCCTCCCCCTCATTCCCTTCCCCTCCCCCTCTCCCTCCTCCTCCTCCTACTCCTCCTCCTCCTCCTCCTCCTCCTCGTCCTCCTCCTCCTCCTCTTCCTCCTCCTCTTTCTCCCGTCGCAGGGATGACCTGATACGTGAGGCTTCGAGCGCAGGCCTCGGATTGGGAGCACGAGGTCGTCCCCAGCGGTTTCTGACCCGAGCCTCCCCTCTCGCAGCCGCCTCTGCGGCCTCCCGTCCGCACCCGCGCGCGCGCGGGCCGCCGAGCCGGCCGCCCATCCAGCGCGAGCGCGGGGCCTCCCGCGCGCCACCAGGGGATCTTGCCCGAGGATTGGCGTTGGGGGGGGGGCGGGGGGAGGCGACTTGACCTTCCTATCCTCAATCCTGAGGCCCACGAGGATTCGGATCAATCCTGGTCCGAGTCTTCTCCTACTCTTCTCCCGCGCTCGCCCCGCTCGCCGCCGGACGCTCCATACCCAGGGCCATGTTTTGCTCAAGCTGCGGTAAGAAGGGGGGAGGGACCGGGAGCCTAGTGCGACTGCTGGCGTTCCCGCAGCCGCTGCCGTTCGGGGGGACCGAAGTGGGTATGGAAATGACGGGCACAAAACCCAACAGCAATTGCTGTTCATTGTGCACAGGATTCGCTGTAGGCGTCGCGGCGGCGGCGGTTGTTGATCAATTGAGAAACAAGTTCGCCTGGCCAACAGCGGCCGCTGTCGATTTCTGACCACACCTGTTGTTGGGCATCGAACCCGTGTTTCCGTAATTGCCCATTTCGGGCGTCCAAAGTCGTGACAACAAGGATGAGGAGCCCGACTACCATGACAACGCGTCCTCGCCGTGTGGTTGGGCTTCGATGTTCCGGCATTGAAGCGCTAGAGGTTGTCTTGGCAAAGTATTTCCTGCTCCCAGCCAGGAGCACCGCATGAATTCGACAGTATTTCTACACGAGCAACATGTACCTGCAGGTTTTCACAAAGTATGCCTGCCAGACTCGGGCCATCTCTAAATGGCAGCGGCAATGACCGCACGGACAGCAGCCGGCCCTGGGCTGGTCTCTACCTCTCTTCTTCCTGGCCCGACGGATGTCCAGAGCGGCGTGGCTTTCTTCAGGGACCGTCCTGGCTCCGCCGGCGGGGCGCACACACCGCTTTTCACGAGGTGCCCTGGGAAGGCCGGCGTCCGCGGGATTCACCTTCCCTGGCCGGCTTGGGCAAGACTTGAGACAAGGCGTGATCTTCCTGAATTTCGCGTTCTTCATCTGGGGCGCCATCCGGCGCTCCTCTCGGACATTGACCGTTCGGCGTCCGTTGGTTTCTGCCCGGCTGAACGGGGCATGGCTTCCTGGGCGGCGTGTTCTCCCACTTCTACGTCCTCTTCTCCTCGCTCCTCGACGCCGTTTGCGTGCAGTCGGCGTTACTCTCGGACAGTGGCCGTTTGGCGCCGGTCGAACGGGACAGGACTTCGTGGCGTGGTGTTCTACATTTACGCCCTTGTCTCCGCGATCCTCGTCGCCTTCTGCGTGCAGTTGGCGCTGCTCAAAGAAATTTCGGCGACCTTCCAGGCACCTGCACGCTCAGCCTCCGGCCACCTGTGCCGGTAGAATCGGACAGGGCGGAGTTCCAGTGAGCTCGTCTGCCCTTTTCGTTTTTTGTTTTGGGTGTAATACCGTGCTTCGCACCGACATATTGCCTCACCTACACACCTGCCAGGATGAGGAGCCCTCGGACAACGTTAAGAATGTGCTTGAACCGGTCAGGGATATGTCCAAGGAAGAATTCAATGCGGCGCTCGGACACGTCACAGCCAAGGTCGACAACTTCGAGCACAATATTCAGAATGTTGAGGATCGCACTGGCATTAAGTCGGGCCTGTCCCTCTACAGGGGGGATATCCCCAAATAGTCAAAAAATAGTATGGGGACGATTTGTTAATTATTTTTGGCCATCTGGGGGTATTTTTGGACTACTTTTTGTTCTTCGCCCAAAATCCCCTTGTATGGGGGACAGGCCCGACCTAACACTGGCAAGCTCGAGCAACGCGTCGAGGCCTTAGAGCACCAATGATCATTATCGGGCGGGGCATCGAATGGCTCTGTTCCGACGTACGTTAAAGTCGGGCGTGTTCCCTTGCAGGGGGATTTTCGACGAGAAATAAAACATGCTCCAAACATATTCCAAAATAGTTACAACATGCTCAGAAAATAGTCCCTATACCAGTTTAAAACTATTTTCGGATATTCCCCCTGTAGAGGGACAGGCCCGACTTAAACGTACGTGTTTGGAGATAAAGAGTTGCTGCGACTACGTCAAGAGACGCACGGGTGTGCGTTGACGATCTCGTGGGATTGGCCCAGCAAATTCTCTTCATCGGCAAGCGGGGAGGAGTGGAGACGAGGGAGGCATGGAACGCCCTGTTGGAAACCAGTGTTGAGCCAGTTGTCAGAGAGTCGGCGCGGCAAGGCCAGGGCATTAATTGCGATGGCTCCATAATTGATCGCGCTATTGGGCTGAAAGCATCATTTTGATAGCTTCTTGTGCCAACAACTCCAACGCATGGCGCAGGACCGAACCCCCTTTTTGCATGCAGCGACGACGGCCTGGAAAAAGTCTTCTTTGCAGTATATGGCTAGAAGGACCGCCATGGGACCCCGACGGTTAACATGCATGTGCTTGTTGGGGAATAGCTCTTCGACTTCGAGCAGGCCCATGAACTATTTGTTGTGTTTTCTCGGATGAGCGTGGTTGGACACAGACCAGCACTGAACACTGTTGTTTTGCAAACGCCGGGCAATCTCCTTGAGCGCATCCGGGCAAGGTGCACGCAATGTGGGGCATCGGTTTCGCATGGGGCTTAACAGTGGCACCTCGGTCAATGGGTTCTGACACGGCCCCGAACCTGGGATTTGCATATGCTACGTTCCATGTTTAAGATGCGCCGGCGGCCTCATCAGAACCAGAAGGTTTACAATCACAGTCCAGCAACTCAACTTTAATATCGGTTCGGCCAAGCGTGCGCCCCGATGACCCATTACTGGGCCTCTCGCATCGTGCATCGTTCAGTTTGGAGGAAAAAGTACGGGCCGAGCATTGGTCTGATGGAGAAACCACTGAATCATGTCCGGATGTATCAGAACGCTCTCTGGTGGCAGTCGACACTGGCATTCCACAGATGGGGCACCGATTGTGCTCATCGCATTCGCGGTCGCAAACATGCGTGGGAAAACGTGTTTTGCTCAGCACTTGGTTGTGATTGGCGGGGGTTCCAGCTTTCTGCAACAATATCTGCCGTCGATGGCAACTTCCTGGACTTCCCTTCGAGCTGCCGCGTCTGCGCTGGAACCGAAACCCATCGTGGAGGACGACGTGCCATTGGAGATTCTCTGGCACCCTTGGTGCCGAGTGTGCAGCTCTGATGGGGTATGTCTGAGAGTCCAGGGCGATAACCAGGCAGTTTCGGGCTTGTCGTCCGCTGACGGATATGGATTTTAGGTTTCTGTTTGTTCGCAGTTGCCGGCTTATCGCCCGCATGTTGACCATGGGCTTGAAGCCCAGGGCACCTACAGGCGATTTTGTGGAGTGGAACCCCTGACGGTGCAATTCCATGGTCGACCAAATCGCCAGCCAGTGCATCATTAAGAGGACCGTCGGAGTTCGGCGTATGCCATCAGAGTTGAACCGTTCAAATTGGTTGTTGTGCGTGGACGGCGGCTTCGTCGGAGGAGTCAGAGGAGCAACGGGCATGGTATTATTCCGGATTTTGGCAGACGGGGACGCGCAGAGGGTGGCAGATTCTGGCATTTCTGTTCCAAGGCGTCGATCCCAATTTTAGGCCGATGCTATCGCAGTTGACTCAGCTGCATCACGCATGTCTGCCGGGGCTGTAGTAGAAGTGGCAGTGCAGGGGCGTAGGCCGCATGAGTAAGAAAAAAGAAGAGGGGGACGGGAAGGATGAGGCGGAGAAGGAAGAGAATGAGGTAAGGGGGACATGTGGAGGGAACGATCCGGAAATCTGTGGGGTTTTGAAAAAATGTTGATCATGAGGACAGCATGAGGGGCAGAAGGAGAAGGATGAGGAACGATCGCCGTTGCCATGGCCACGAAGCCAGCGCCTGCGTGTGCGGACTTGCCTGCTGATGCCGACGGGCTCAGCTCTTCTCGGGATGCCTCACGCGCTCGTGAACGTCTGGATGGCACCGCCTGGTCTCGACGAAAGAAAACGACAGAAGCAGTATTAATAGTTTGGAGGTCCTCGCGGACTTCTTTGCTCGGCGGTGCCGCTTTCCTTCCTTCGAAGATCCCCAGGAGCTTTCTGACAAGTGGCCTCAATGACTCGTTGGTGGGGCTCTTCTCTCGTCCATAGATTGGCACTGCACCGACGTGAAGCAACTCCCCGCCCTCTTCTGATAATTATAGGCATTCTTCCACCACCACCACCACCATAAGTTGGAGGAGGGAAGGAGGTGGAGGATGAGGAGGACGAAGAAGAGGAGGAGGAGGACCCCCTCCCCCCTCCAACTTATGGTGTTGGTGGTGGAGAATAGTCCCAACAGATAATGTTTAAATTGTACAGGTTGTCGCGCCGAGCAAGTTGACGGCAACTTCAACAGGACCTTCACTGCGGGACACGGTGCCGCCCATGAGCGGTCGCAATCTGCTACGGAGGGATGCCGTGATGCGTTTCCTGTAAAGTCGAGTCAAGCATTTCTTCGCCAGCGGGATGCTTCAACGAGACCCTACAACGATCCACCTGGTGGGCCAGACCACCCAAGTCGCCCCGCATTGGCTCCTGGCGAACAGAGGTATTCGATTCCAGAGCGGCAGCCAATGCCTGGAATCCAGACCGAGGTTCAGCGACATCTATCGTGTGTTTTTTAATTGTTATCCCAAGCAAGCGACTCGCGACTTGCGCCCCGACCATGGCCGCTGTCCCGCAGACGGGTAGTTCTGAGTGCCGAGCGCCCCCCGGCAGCAGCTTCGCAGCGTATGTCGAGTTTCGATCTCCAAGTCTCGGTCATATCTGACCGGAATCGGCTCCAAAATTTGATCACATTCGAGATTATGCATACAGAGCGATTTTCCGAATGGTTGGGTTTGGGCAGCAGAGCACATGTCTTGCCGAATATTTGCTCATGCCAAAACTCAGTGGCTCATGTCCTTCGTCCCTGGTTCAGAAAGGCGCTGAACATCACCGGCCGTGTGCCCGTCGACTCCTTGGCTTAACAGCACAGGCGCCCTCTCAGGGTCCAAGGACGAGATGGGGGTCCTCGCGGGCCCTTCGGAGGGCCTCAGCCACACCATATCTTGAAGCAGTTTCAGAGGCATTAGCATCAGGCCGTTTCTCCTGTCAGGCCCTCTGGCTGCCCTGGGGAAAGCACATCTGAGTCCGAAGCCGTGCACCTTGGCTTTGGGGGGGGGGGGGAAGAGGAGGTGGCGAGGAGGGGGAGGTGGGGGGAGGGGGGAGGAGAGGAGGTGGGGAAGAGGGGGAGGAGGGGGGGGAAGAGGAGGTGGGGGGAGGGGGGGGGGGGTTGGGGGGGGGAGGAGGAACAGGGTGTCTTCGGGCCTCCTCCCTCCTTTGCGCGTGGAGGCCGGAGAGAAGATGGAGGAGCAGAAGGAGGACGAGCTGGCCAAGACGGCCAACGACCTCGCTGAGGCCAAGGAGGACCTGGGCCAGGAGAAGGCTCCGCGGGTGTGTGTCGGGTCGGGCGAAAGTGGGGGATTGGGAAAGGGGGGGTTACGAAATTTGCTGCATGCAGCTGGTTTCGGCCTCACCAAGGGGCCCATTCCTCGATACATAGCCGCCTCCGGCGCCGGGAGGCGCCGGGAAAATCAGCTACGTGAGCTGATTCTCAAACCCCCCCTTTGCTATCCCCCCCTTTCGCCCGACCCGAGTGTGACCCCATGCCTCGTCCGCAGAGCTTCCTCCGCCCTTTTGTCCATCGTCTTGCTGATCTTCTCGTGCGTGGGGGGCACCTCCCCAGATCTCCGAGGACACGATGTTTCCATCCAGGCGTGTTCCCTGGCGTCGGCCTCCGGGGCGCGCCATCGCGCCCCCAGACCTCCTGGGTGCGGGACGCCGCTGCGCGAATGTTCCGCGCGGAACACGATTTCCGATGGGATCTCGTATCCATGGGAGCGTTCGGCGGCAAGCGAGGGGGGAGGGAAGTGAGAAGGAGAAGGCCTTCTCAGAAGGCGTCGGGACTTCTCCGAAAGTTCCTGGGGAAGGCTCCGAAAACTTCACTGGAGGACGGGGGGGGGGGTCCGAGCCTTCTGAGAAGGCCCGCCGCTGCTCACTTCCCCCCCTCTCGCTCGCGGCCGAATCGCACCCCAGCGCCCGGTCTGCGATAGATCGAATTCGCATATTGCAGTGCAGTGGAGACCCATGCCAAGAAACAGCACGCTTGCCTCCAGGGTGCCCTGGGTTTCTCTTGGGTTTCGATGGCCTTGCGATGGAAAGCGTGACGCTCCCAGGCCAAACACCGCTGCACGTCCTCGGGTCTCAGGGCTGGGTTCCTTCTGGAAGGCTTCTTGCGGCCTGGCCACCCATGCACGTAGTTTGAATGCGCAGATTGCAGTACAGTCGACCCGGATTAGTAGGTCGACCCTGCCAGCTCAAGGGTACCCTTGTGTCCTGTGCCTCGCGACACGTGCCTTCTTACACTCCTATGGCGATGTGGCCTTCGGAAGGGTCTTGTGTCCTCTCGCGCGCGTCCTGTCCAATCGAGGCCGACTGTAGGCTCCTCAGACGAGGAATCGGCCTGCCAGCGGGTGCCCCGCGATGCAGTTCTGATGTCCTCGATGGGGCCGCGGAGCCCTGAGGATACCCTGCGAAGCTCAGGGTCGACGAATAGTGTGCCCTGTTGGTTTCGTTGCTGTTGTTGTTGTTGGTGCTGCTGCCGTTGCTTTTGTTGTGGTTGTGGCTGTTGTTGCTGTGGTTGTTGTTGGTGTCGTCGTCGTCGTCGTTGTTTTTATGGTTGTTGAATTCTCATGTCTAAAGAATAATTATTGTTGATCCTCCCCGCTGGGGCACATTGTGTTTTTTCAATTGAAGTGCCCCTCCCGGGGCTCGCACCCCGTTTTTACACGGGAGAGCGACCAGTCACCAATTTGGGCCGTGGCCGCCGTTGTTGTTGAATATTATTCCTTCTAAAGAATTATTATTGTTGGGACCCCTGGTGCGCGACCTCTGCGCCGCGCCTAGGCCGCAGCTACATTTTCATCATTTTTTCGCGAAAGCTTCAGAAAAGTGGATTGTTACCGGATCCGGTTTTTTGTTGTACTCCGTTTTCCCTTGCAAAAAACACTATAAAATGAAAATTCTTGTTCTTACTTGATCAAATTGCAAGAATCCCTTGCAAAAAATAAGGTAAAGTGGACATTCGTGCGCGCAAGACGAAATCCTTCCAAAACCTTAGGTTTCGTAACGATTTTAACATAAAAACATCAAAAACCCAATGGTTTTTTAAGAAAAAATTGTCAAAATGTCCTTCCGCGCGCGCTGTCCGAATCCCACAAAACCAATGGTTTTTCAACATTTATGTTACATGAGCTCGCGCGAGCTACTTTTTCTTGTTCTAACATAATCAAATTTCAATAATCCCTTGCAAAAAATAAGGTAAAGTGGACATTCGCGCGCGCAAGACGAAATCCTTCCAGAACCTTAGGTTTCGTAACGATTTCAACATAAAAACATCAAAAACCCAATGGTTTTTCAAAAAAAATGTCCAAATTTCATCCCGCGCGCGCTGTCCGACTCCCACAAAACCAATGGTTTTTCAACATTTATGTTACATAAGCTCGCGCGAGCTACTTTTTCTTGTTCTTACATAATCAAATTTCAACATCCCTTGCAAAAAAAAAGTAAAGTGGACATTCGCGCGCGCAAGACCAACAAAAAACACGACGATCTCAGGAACTTGCCCCAAAAATGTGACCAACTCCGCTCTCTCTGTCTCTCTCTCTGTCTGCTCTCTGTCTCTCTCTCTGTCTGTCTGTGTCATGTATTGTATGTCACAATTGCAGGATGCTGGGCACACGCGCGCCCCGAATAAGTGACCAAGTTCTGTGGGTGTGTACCCCACGCCAGTGTAGTAGCCACGGTCGTCCGCACGCCACGAAGTGAAGTGTCCCAACGTCATAGGGCGGGAAGCTGGGTTTGGGTGGTCGCGAAGAGTCGTTTGGATATTTGGTAGAGCTTGACTGTGCCCCCCCACGAAGTGGGGGTATTGTCCTCGCGTCGCATGAAAACCCTGGCACTGGTGAGAACACTGAGCGTTCGGGTAAAATGATTGTTGTTGTTGTTGAATATTATTCCTTCTAAAGAATTATTATTGTTGGGACCCCTGGTGCGCGACCTCTGCGCCGCGCTAGGCCGCAGCTACATTTTCATCATTTTTTCGCGAAAGCTTCAGAAAAGTGGATGTGTCCGGATCCGGTTTTTTGTTGACGCTCGTTTTCCCTTGCAAAAAACAATAGAAAATGAAAATTCTTGTTCTTCTTGATCAAATTGCAAGAATCCCTTGCAAAAAATAAGGTAAAGTGGACATTCGTGCGCGCAAGACGAAATCCTTCCAAAACCTTAGGTTTCGTAGCGATTTTAACATAAAAACATCAAAAACCCAATGGTTTTTTAAGAAAAAATTGTCAAAATGTCCTTCCGCGCGCGCTGTCCGAATCCCACAAAACCAATGGTTTTTCAACATTTATGTTACATGAGCTCGCGCGAGCTACTTTTTCTTGTTCTAACATAATCAAATTTCAATAATCCCTTGCAAAAAATAAGGTAAAGTGGACATTCGCGCGCGCAAGACGAAATCCTTCCAGAACCTTAGGTTTCGTAACGATTTCAACATAAAAACATCAAAAACCCAATGGTTTTTCAAAAAAAAATGTCCAAATTTCATCCCGCGCGCGCTGTCCGACTCCCACAAAACCAATGGTTTTTCAACATTTATGTTACATGAGCTCGCGCGAGCTACTTTTTCTTGTTCTAACATAATCAAATTTCAATACTCCCTTGCAAAAAAAAGTAAAGTGGACATTCGCGCGCGCAAGACCAACAAAAAACACGACGATCTCAGGAACTTGCCCCAAAAATGTGACCAACTCCGCTCTCTCTGTCTCTCTCTCTGTCTGCTCTCTGTCTCTCTCTCTGTCTGTCTGTGTCATGTATTGTATGTCACAATTGCAGGATGCTGGGCACCGCGCGCCCCGAATAAGTGACCAAGTTCTGTGGGTGTGTACCCCACGCCAGTGTAGTAGCCACGGTCGTCCGCACGCCCACGAAGTGAAGTGTCCCAACGTCATAGGGCGGGAAGCTGGGTTTGGGTGGTCGGAAGAGTCGTTTGGATATTTGGTAGAGCTTGAACTGCCCCCCCACAAAGTGGGGGTATTGGCTGGCGTCGCATGAAAACCCTGGCACTGGTGAGAACACTGAGCGTTCGGGTAAAATGATTGTTGTTGTTGTTGTTGTTGTTGTTGTTATTGAATATTATTCCTTCTAAAGAATTTTATTGTTGGGACCCCTGGTGCGCGACCTCTGCGCCGCGCCTAGGCCGCAGCTACATTTTCATCATTTTTTCGCGAAAGCTTCAGAAAAGTGGATGAGCTCCGGATCCGGTTTTTTGTTGACGCTCGTTTTCCCTTGCAAAAAACAATAGAAAATGAAAATTCTTGTTTTTACTTGATCAAATTGCAAGAATCCCTTGCAAAAAATAAGGTAAAGTGGACATTCGTGCGCGCAAGACGAAATCCTTCCAAAACCTTAGGTTTCGTAACGATTTTAACATAAAAACATCAAAAACCCAATGGTTTTTTAAGAACAAATTGTCAAAATGTCCTTCCGCGCGCGCTGTCCGAATCCCACAAACCAATGGTTTTTTCAACAGTTTATGTTACATGGAGCTCGCGCGAGCTACTTTTTCTTGTTCTAACATAACAAACTTCAATAATCCCTTGCAAAAAATAAGGTAAAGTGGACATTCGCGCGCGCAAGACGAAATCCTTCCAAACCTTAGTTTCGTAACGATTTCAACATAAAAACATCAAAAACCCAATGGTTTTTCAAAACACGAAGTCCAAATTTTCATCCGCCGGCGCTGTCCGCTCCCACAAAACCAGGTTTTTCAAATTTTGTTACAGAGCTCCCGAGCTACTTTTTCTGTTCAACATAATCAATTTTAATACTCCTTGCAAAAAAAAGTAAAGTGGACATTCGCGCGCGCAGACCAACAAAAACCACAACGATCCAGACTCCCCCCAAAAATCCAACTCCGCTCTCTCTGTCTCTCTCTCTGTCTGCTCTCGTCTCTCTCTCTGTCTCTCTGTATTATGTATTGTATGTCACAATTGCAGGATGCTGGGCACACGCGCGCCCCGAATAAGTGACCAAGTTCTGTGGGTGTGTACCCCACGCCAGTGTAGTAGCCACGGTCGTCCGCACGCCACGAAGTGAAGTGTCCCAACGTCATAGGGCGGGAAGCTGGGTTTGGGTGGTCGCGAAGAGTCGTTTGGATATTTGGTAGAGCTTGAACTGCCCCCCCACGAAGTGGGGGTATTTTCTCGCGTCGCATGAAAACCCTGGCACTGGTGAGAACACTGAGCGTTCGGGTAAAATGATTGTTGTTGTTGTTGTTGTTGTTGTTGTTGTTGTTGTTGTTGTTGTTGTTGTCGTGGTTGTTG